GGTGTCTAACAGCAGCTTAAACACCTATCATTACTTCACACATCATGAGGTAGATGTGTTTAGATTTTGTAGCTAAAGAAATGGCATGGGATAATGCTAATTTCTTCAGTTAACAGTATAAAAACCAACAAAAAAGAACTGTCAGATAAATGTAACTCCAGTGAAGAGCTTAAAGAATTTCTCCCATCTAATGTAATCTCTTTAAATATGCAAATCATGTGGATCCTACATATTACATTGGGTCTCAATATTACTTGGGTTAAGCCTCATTGCTCATTTTCTGGGACCTGCTCCTATCTATGTACAATAATTTCATTATAGAGTTTAAATTCCCAGAATGAAAGAACTAAGTCTTTCCAACTTGAATTTTTGGTAAAAGTATTATTACAGACTACATTTAATGATCATGTATGATTTCGAAGTTGTCTCATATATTTGAAAGTTAAAAGAGAAAAGAAAGAAGGGAAGGAGGAGGGAAGGAGAGGAGCACAAAAATGGTAGAGAAATGGAAGAAAGGAGGGAAAGAGGAAGGGAGAGAAAGAGAAAAAGAAGTTAATTAAACATGAGGAGGTAAGCAGGTAAGAAGAGGATCCATTCATTCCCAAGTTTCTCTTCTTGCAAGACAGTTGAAACTAGAATTGAACAAAATTCACAATTTTTTCCATCATGCACTGAAAGGCACATCAGAGTGATATATCATCACTTTAGTACAAGAAAAAAATCATACACTACACAATTGGTAATGGACAAATACTAATTACCTATTGTACGTACCTGTGTATTCATCAGGGCTTTTAGACACTGTATGACTTTGTGTTGATTTTTCTTTACAACTTTTTCTTGGCTGTTTTGACATAAAAGATACAAATATTGGTATTATAATTGGACATACATAAGGCTTAACTGAAAATAACTCTTAGCAATACTTACATTTTTCCACTAATCAGTTTTTCCAAAATGTCTAGTAATAATCCGAGCCCCTCATGTCCGAAGCTTTCCACCCAACTGAAAAACATAAAAAAAGGTAGTTATACATTGTCAGTATTCTAGTTTGGATTATCATGATAATGCTATATACTCACAAGTATTTTACACTTGTTATATTCATAATCATAATTTCAACATAAGAATAATATCATATGCAAAAGCATTCATGATTCATAATCTTATCAGTGAAAGAAGAAGCAAAGATGCATAAACCAACATTGTGCTACACTCAGCTTCCACTGGTTTGTGAAAGCTGATTGTGCCCATCTCTTCCATGCTCCGTGCTGAGTGACACCATGTTGGTACCTTGAAATCAATCATGGTGAAAGTATTTACATCACAGAAATTGGCAAATGCTACCAATCAGAGCTTCCCCCACCCACCCACACAGAGCTGGCTGTAAAACATTTTACTAGCACACCACTGGATAAGCCCCATTTTGGACTATTCCAAAGAACAGAGATTAGGATGATAACCAAAGAAACAATATAATATTTAAACATAAAAAGAAAGTGAATGAAAGTACTTATTGAAAAGGTAATATTAAAATACAAATATGCATAAAACATCTCCCTATTTTCTTAAAAATTTGCAAGGCTAAATTGTGAATAAAGATCTACGGAGGGAAGATGCAGATTGACATAAAGAAAAAGATTGCTGACAAAAATTAATCAAAATAATGAAAAGGGATGCTTTAAGAGAATTTCCCAAACCATTAAAATGTATCCCTATAAATGTTAAGAGTTTCCTAAGTTTCAAAGTTCAGTTGCTTTAAAAAAAAAAAAAGAGAGAGAGAGAGAGCTCTACAATTGTTTTATAAATGAGTATTTCCATCTTGACCAAACTACTCCTATTCCATAAACCCACTGATCCAATCACAGTACTTTACATAAATAACTAGGACAACATTGTCACAGACAAAAGCTTGCCTTAATTATGGAAAAACTAACTTGGTAGAAATGAATATCTTTTTTCAGTGAAGATTTTGAAATCTAGCCCAATAAATAATATAATGGTAATAATCATCTCCAAAAAAACAGGAGAAAGAAAAAGATAAATGATATATATGTGTATATTTCTTTCTATACATGTGGGTTTTTTTTTATTTTCTTAACAGCTTTATTGAGGCATAATTGTTTTTATGTGTGATTTCATATGTGTGTGTAGTGTCTGAACAATAAGATGTAAAAAATTTCTCAAGTCATCAAAAATAGGACATTATAAAGAATAAAAACAAGCCTAAGTCATATACCAGAAAATAATATCATTTTAAGATACAATATAACATTTCCAATGAAAACAAGAAAGTAAAAACCAAATGCAACATATTTACATAAAAATACGAATATTGTTTAAAGTCCATCTTTTTCATTTGTACATGTATATGAACAGAATTTGATTATCTATAAATGTTCAGAATTTCTAATTTTACAAAAAAGAAAACAAAGAAATTTGCCATGCAGATTGGCAGTCTCTTGTCAGACAATATTTTATTCATCTCTTCTCTTTCCAGTGAAAGCCATGGAATAACTAATTTTAAAGTGCACTTAAACAGGAAAAATACTCCCCTGTAAAAGACTGAAGATTGCTATTATAGTTAAGGTGAGGAAAAAAGTTAAATACAAGTTGCTGTTTTCAAACCAGGATGCTACTTCAAAAGTGAAGGGTTTACTCTCCACTATCAGCAACAGACAGGTTACCTGTAGGCATTTTAAATCTTGCTTTCATGTTTCATGAAAACACCTACAGCATCCTGCTTAACTGTTTGCCTTGTTGACACCCTATTCTGTATTTATTCTTATTTCACATGCAGCAGGGAAGCTTGAAATAAAACATGTCAGGAGTAATTTGAGAGTTTTACTTGGGCTGGCATTGAGATGCACAGAGAGAGTGTTCATCAGTCCCTCCTCTGTTAGTACTTCACAGTAGGCCTTCAATATTTTGTTTCAAGAGAATTTTCAACAATCTCTATATTCAAAACTATATACATAAAGATATTCTAAAGTTAATATAAATGATTTCAGATTATTCATGCTGCTATCACCTTCAATCATTGTGGAGAGTAAAGTTACTTTTCATAAAGCTGCCTTACACCAAAATATACAAAGTTATTATAAATTATGTCAATATAACAGAAAGACTTTGTTACACTTAATATGCTTATGTTGTGACCCACTATAAAATTTAAGAAGCACAAAAATCCATGTAAATCAGTAAGTTCTCTGATCTGAGTAATCAATACTAAAAAAAGCTATTTAAAATTTATCACTCCTAACGTAATTATAACTAGAATAGTGGGACCCATAGAAGGTCTCAAATCAACTATTTCCACTAGATAACTCTCTCCTAAACTATACATATGAATCATTAAAATATAATTTATACCCACTCATATATATTACATATAAACTAATTCTCTATAAAGCAAAACATTACTAAAGTTGCATGTAAAATGGCACTAAACTAAATCACTTTATATATTACAATCTTTTAATTCATTGTGGGAATTAATTTCTCAACAATAAAATCAGAGAGGTGGGCAACAGCCTTCTGAAAACCAGGTTACCTTTTATATTTCATAAAACATTTCAAAAACAAGAAAAGTGGGACAGGGTGCAGGGGAGGAAACTAAGATGGTGGACAATCAAAGAACCAATATATTTACACATAAAAAGAAAGCTAATGAAAGTGTTGAAAGGTAATATTAAAATGTAAATTAACTATGAATAAGACATGTCCCTATTTTCTTAAATCTTTTGTCTTAAAAATGTGCAAGGCCAACATACTGCTATATTAACTAGTTGTCACTCACAAACCCATACTTTCACTTGTTTCATGCCCCCCACACACTATTTTCAGCAATATTATTTTTAAGGATAGGGGTGCAAATATCACTTCCTATCTCTGCTGGAAAAGATGTTCAAGATAAAAAGTGATATTGAGTAGGCAGGGCTGCAGTCTTGACAGAGGTTTATTGAAATCCATAGCTTTCTACAAAGGTGAAAAATTTCTCATCATCAGTTTAAGAAGCAACCTGGAAAAAAATTATCAACTGATCTATAAATGATCAATCTTCAGGAAACAAAATCTGCACTATTTGTTCTGTGCCTGTCAGCATAGTACCATCAGGCATTATGAGGTTTAACTATAAACGGCATTCACGGATGAATAAGCCCTGTGCAAATGTTTCTTCTTCATGAATAGAAATGACATAGAGATCAGTATGACATTTGTATTGGGAAAAAAATTGCCTTAAAACAGCAAAAAGTGGTGTGCTAAATACTAACTTAACATAAAATCTACCTCTTAAAATTCTATAACAGGAAATATCAAACTCTTCTCCTTTAATTGCCTCAAGGAAAAGTTCTAAGTATATTCCCATTAGCACTTCCTAGTAGGGGTCTTAATGTAGGAGAAAAGAAGAGATGAAGAGGTAATAAAACTTAATAAAAAATTTAAAAAGACAGAGGGAGAGGGAAAACAGGTCTGCA